GCATATGATAGGGTTGAATGGGCTTTTATTGCTTGTAAACAAATGGATTTGTGATGTTTTTGTTTCTTGGATCTTAGCTTGTGTCTGTTCCACAACTTATTCTTTTAATGTGAAAGGATCTTGCACGGGTTTTATCGAGCCAACTAGAGGGCTTAGACAAGGTGATCCTCTTTCACCTTACCTGTTCATCCTCATTTCTGAAGCCTTTTCCAATTTGATAGCTCAAGTTTGTTTAGTGGGTGAGTTTAAAGGTGTCAAAGTTGCTAGAAATTCCCTTTCTTTCTCATTTATTATTTGTTGATGATTCCATTTTGTTTTGCCAAGCAAATGTCCATCATGCTAGTATGATTTTTTATATTCTTGATAAGTATGGTCATGATTCTGGTCAACTGGTTAATTTTGATAAGTCCTCCATTTTTTTCTCCAAAAATGCTTAAGAAGGTCTCTGTAGTGATATATGTTTGACTCTCTCTGGCATCTCTAGAGTTTCATCTTCTAAGTATCTTGGCTTACCTTTGGTTATAGGGAAATCCAAAAGAGCCATATTCTTGTATGCGAGTGAGTGTGTTAAGTCTAGAATTAGGAATAGGAAGAATAAGTTCTTGAGTGAGGTTGAGAAGGAAGTGCTCATTAAGTCTGTCCTTAATGCATTGTCTACTTATATAATGTCTTGCTTTAGAATCCCTGTTGTTGGTCTCAAAGATATCTGCAGGGATGTTGCTTCTTTTTGGTGGGGTCAAAATTGTTAGAGTAGTATACCCAGCGTTCCAATTTGATTGGACGTATTCTACTTGTAAATATGATCTATTGGAATTATATTATTAAATAAGGTATTTCTTTATCTTAAGAGTAAGCATTTATCCTATAATTGCACTTAAGATAAAATCCCTAGATCACATATGGTTATAAGGTATGGTTGCGCATAGAGATGGTGATCATGGAACATACCTTGAAAGCCGTGATCTTAAATATAGTTCCAAGTCGATGGATGTTTCGAAAAGGGATATCGAATAATCCAGAAAAGACTTGCACATAGTATGTATACTTATCGGATAAGAATGTTGAATTCCATCAACATTAGCGTGTGACGCAAGTACATATATGTGGGTGCTTGTTAGAGA